CCCGTTCATCCACTGATGAACACGTAAGCTTTTGCCATCTCTTGGCTGTTGTGAACATGCACGCCTGTGTTATTTGCTAGAGTACCTGCTTTCAATTTTCTGGGGTATATACCTAGGTGTGGGGACTGCAGGGTTCTATGGTAACTCTATATTTAACTTTTTGAGGAGATGTTCCCAAGCAGCTGGACCATTCTACATTCCCACTGGCGATGTATGAAGGTTCCAATTTCTCCACGTCCTCGACAACACTTGTTATTTTCCGTTTTGTTTTTTCTTCATTACAGCCGTCCTGGTGGGTGTGAAGTGGTATCTCACTGTGGTTTTGATTTGCATTTCCCTGATGACTAATGATGTTGAGCATCTTTTCATGCGCTTCTTGGCCATTTGTGTATCTTCTTTAGAGGAATGTCTATTCGAGTCCTCTGCCTATTTTTAAATTGGGTCATTTTTCTTTTTGTTGTTTCTGTCTACTTTTATATATGTTTTAAAATCTCCATAGTAAGAAAAAGATACAAAAATATTAGATATTGTATTTAAAACTTTTAGAAACACTTTCTTTTTTTTTTTTTTTTCACTTTCTGGAAAGAGAGTACTTTTTCCTCCTCCTCCCACCTCCCCACTTGAATTCCCCAGGGACCCTTGCATAATCCCTATCTCCATATGCCATTCATAATGCAATTTCAAAAAAAGCGGATGCCCTTCAAACAAATAAATAAGCACATCTCTTCCCTTTCTCCTTCTCAAACGTGAGTGGGAGACACAGAGAGCAGGGCTGGGACTTACAAGGAAGAGAGGCTGGCTGTCCTCATCACTTTGGCCTCAGCCCTAGGCTGACCCCACTACCTAGCAGCCTGGTGATTCATTCTCTCATGTCCCACCTCAGTGTCTTTCCTAAGATTCCTCTGGGAAGGGGAAGGGAGGGTCCCATCGATAGCAGAAGAAACCTTCTGGGCCCAAATCCAGCCACATCACAAGACTGGATGGCCCAGCCGCGAGACAAGCATGTCAGTGCCTTCCGTAGCCAATGGGAGAGGCTTCACCCGGCTCATGTTCTGCTGTGGTAGTCGGGCCAAACAGATGGCTTGGGATAAACAGGGGGGTGGTGCTGGTTTGGGGGGGGTGGAGGTGGCTTTGAGTGGCCTCAGCCTCTCTCGGGATCCTAGAGAAAGAGGCAGGAGATGTGAAGGCCATGCCTGAGGAAGGGGCTATAGTTTGGTGCCTTCCAAACATGTGTGGGATGTTTTTAGCAGTAGAACTCTTGTTCAAACAAATCATTACAAGATATAAGACAGAGGAAAAAGGAAGCTGCTCCAGCTGAAGAGGCAGTGAGAAACCCAGAGCCTCCCCGCCCTCCATGCCACGTGGCACCTCTGGGAATTCTGGGTCTCAGGAGAACACGCCGATCCTGTTAACACATGGTCATTATATGAGAGAACTTGGGAACTCAACACATTCTGTCTCTTTGAGTTTTGCAGTGGGCTCTAGAGGCCTGAGGAGAAACCCCTCAGCAAGGCAAGCTCCCACCCGAGATACCGTGCCCATTCCCCAAAGCAAAGTGGCCTCTTGCTTACGCCTTACCAGCCAAGGGCTAGAGAGAAGGGCTAGGGTTTGGGAGGGCTGAAGGAAGTGAGAGAGACAGCAGCTGCAGTGGCCTGGTCTCTGAGCCTGCCCAGGTTCCCTTCCAGCAAGAGAGCATGGAACTCAGTGTCTGCCTCCCTCCCTTCCGCAGAGCTGCTTTGACCTGAGTGGTCTACATGCAGCTCCTCCTCCAGGCCTCTCTACCTGTCTCTCTCCTAACCTGAGGAGAGATGTGATACCTCTAGTCCCACCCCAGAAAATATGACAGAATTTCCTCAAACCCAGATTCTGGTTCTCAGCGTAGTCAGTCTCTAGCACCACCCCCACCCGCAGGTGACCCCAGATGCGTATGGGGTTAGTTCTTTAACTAGAGAATGGGCCCATTTTTTGCTGTAGGATGGTGTGTGGGGGCATTCGTAAGAAAACAAAGAGGTAGGCAAATAACTTTACCTCGGGTGTCAGTTATCTACCCACTGGGGAGCATAATATGTACTCCATAGGGCTATTTTGAGGATTTAATGAGTTCATGGCATGTCCAAGCCCAACAGAAGCTTGGTTTAGAAGCAGTTCCATACCAGAGAAAGGGCATGACACTGTCCTTAAATGATGTGTCACCCTAGATGAGGCATTTCCTCTCTCTGAGCTCCAGTTGTGTCATCTGTAAAATGGGCATATTAATATCTCTTATCTATCACAGTTGCTAGAGGAAATAGAGATAATTCACACAAAGTGCTTAATATAGTGCATGGCATGGGGAAAGTACTCAAAATATGGTAGTAACAGTTGTAATTATTACTACTTTTACTTTTATTATTATTACTATCATTGAGGTACAAGGGCAATGTGATTTTATAGCTAAGCACATAGACATTGGAGCCAAATTGCGTAGGTTTGAATTCACTTCACCACTAGAGCTGTGTGACCTTATGCAAGTTACTTAACCTCTCTGTGCCTACGTCTTTTAAAACCATATAAGGGGATTAATAATTATAGCTATCTCATGGAGTTGCTGCGAGAATTAAATTGTAGGTGAGTGCTTAGAAGAATGCCTGGCAAATTTTAAGTACTAGGCATGGGTTTGCTGTTAACAGCAGTAGTTCTGTTGCTATTATTATCATTATTATTAACAACCAAACTCTGAAAGCCTTCACCTTGAGTCCAATTAAGGAGAGCCACAGTGCAACCCATTCACCAGTCCACTGATGGCTTAGCAATGGGGAAGCTGTGTGACTTTGGGTAAATTACCTCCCCTCTCTGAGCCCACTTTTATTGCTCTCCAAACGCGAGTTGTAATACTACCCATAATGGTGCTTCTAGGTTGTTAGGCTTCATTAACGAGCGATGACCCGTGGGAAGCTTCTAGCTTGTAGTTAATTAGGCCCTTATCCCAATGCCCTGCCTAAATCCAGCTCCCTACCCCACCCCTGCGGGAGAGCGCTTGGATTCCTTCCTGCTGGGCGCGAGGTTGTGGGGGGGAGCGCCGCCGGGCGCCCGCTGCCAGGCCCTATTCTGGGGGCCGAGCGATCCCGTGGCCGTGCCAAGCTTCCCCGGGGATCAGGTTTCTGCTGACGCGGTGCCAGGCACGTCTGCTTCCAGGAACCGGCAGCCGCATTTAGCCGCGGGCCGCACATGAAAGGGCTGCAGTCGGAAACGTGACGTTGTGTCAACAGGCGAGTCAGGTCAGCGCTGGGTGAGACCATCCCGGCAGGCCCAGAGAGTCACGCCCTGTCTGAAGGCGGCCAGATCCCCAGCCTCAGCTCTCCTGCCTCCTGCCACCTCTCCCAGGCCTCAAAGCCAGCGCTTCACCCCCTCACACTCACACCCCTTTTTAACAGAGGTCCTCTTTGTCCCGAATGGGCTAGGGGCTGGGGTGCAAGCCCCTCCTCTCGTCTCCCTGGGAGCCACTTGGAACCTGCAGCAAATGGGCTAGAAGGAAAGGCAAGGACAAAGGGGGCTGCAGGACAGTGGCTCCGTTCACGGGTGCGTGACCGAGCAGACTCCAGGAGGGGGACTCTGGATCGACTGTTCCGTGACTGAACCCTCAGATGTTTTTTTTAGTTCAGGTTGCACCTCTTCCTTCAGTCTCCACGCTACTCCTTGAGTTACGGCCCAGGAAAGAGGGGCATGCAACAGGCCTTTTGCCCTGATTTCAACCCCATGTTCCATCCCTGGGAGAAAGTTGACTTGTTTAGGTTTTTACCGAAAAAGTCTACCAGAAAAGCCTAGCCATTCACGGAGGCATTTCAAGGACTTAGCAGGTGGGAGACCTGGAGGCCCTCAAGAGCTAGGAGAAGGAGGGACTTCCAGAATTTGCCATCTGCTTGCTCTAGGACTTGTGACAAGGGCTCAGAATCTTTATTTTACTTAGTCAGGACCAGGCGTGGAAGGGGATAACAGGCCATTAGTTCATCTCCAGAATCCTGGTGCGGGGCTCTGAACGTGACTCCATGCTGCCCGGGGATCTCTGTGTCTTTCAGAGCATGTGTTCTGCATCTCCCACAGCCCGGCAATGCTCACTCTCATCTCACCTGCTGGCTCATCGGGAGACAGGGAAGGTGACGTTTGAAGCAAAGTCACGATGGGCAGGTTGGTGCCTTTGGTGGCTGAGAACTCCCTGGGAGCAGGTGCCCTGCTTAGGCTCCAGATGGACCAGAGGGTTCTGGAAGGCTCCAGGTACTTGGGGATCTGAAGCATGGCAAGCCAGGTACTGGCCATCAGGACATCCCTGACGGGGAGATGGGGAAAGGCAAAAATACTCGACCAGGTCATTTCCCACTTCTTTTCCCATGGAAATTTTTTTTTTTTTTGTAAGAGCACTTGACGAAGGAACACCAATATTCATTCATGCACAAACACACCCAACGAGAGGAAGTCCAGGAAGGATGTAGAAAATAATTATGGAATGTTGCCTTCAGCAGCAGTAAGACAGGATATGGCAAATCCATTAGACTTTGCTAGACTCAAAAAAGTTAGACTGGCTTGGCAGAGGTGCTATTCCCCAGCAGCAATTATTGCATAATAATCCATTAAATCTTTTCTCCATGTGCCTACCGCTCCAGCAAGCTCCCCAGACCCTATGGCCTAACAATTCCATTAATTTCATTTTCTGTCAGGTTCTAAGAACCATGAGAAAAGCAGGCTGAGGCAGGGGGTGGGGGGACAATGTACTTTTTGCCTAACTCTGGAAGGAGGCACAGCGTGACCATGAACCTTTAGCAGACGTTAAAAAAAAAAAAAAATTTAAATATTTACCTACAAAATTGACCAAGCTTATTCTGTCTGACCGAATACAAGACACATAAAAAGCTGAATGAAATGACGCCAAGATGAACTGAGTTGTTGCCTCCAGCCAAGAGGGGAGGGCAGGAAGACAGCCCTATTACACGACTGGGGTATTTAGAAGAAAAATGCAGAAGCCCATCTTTCTCTTCCACAGGAAAAGGATTATTTTATTAAGTATTTTAAAACAACTACTTAACATTGACTCATAGATAAAAATATTTACAATTTCACACCTTCAGGAAGGCTCCAAAATATAAACACTGTACCTCTCCCTAGAGAAAAAAATTATTCTTCTCTTCAAAAACAGGAATACATTCATTTTTCGCACTTTGTAGATCAAGTAATTATACAAATAAACATCTGAAACATTTCCTTTTTAATATATTTATATAATATATATTTATAACAGTTTTACAAATAAGGGCAATGACTTTATACCAAAATAAAAACAGGAAAAGAAAAAGTTAGAACACGATCGGCGATCAAGCGTAGTGCATTTTGAAAAGCTGGTGCAGGGCTAGCTGGACAAGTCAGGAAACAAGTACTCTGGACCAAAAATAAAACTTCTTTGAAGGAGACAGAATCCATTTTAGCAATAAGGACACTCCCTATGCCATTTGGGCGAGGGGCATTAGCCTGCAGAAAGGATCTTGCTGTGCCAAGAGCTGGTTAGGCCTTTAAGCTAAGCTTGGTTAAAAGGAGTTTTAGGATAGAACTGCAAACCGAGTCTAGCTCTGCTTGTTGAAGGTAGCAATTTGTTACTTAGCTTTATGCATTTTGGGGGTGACTGGAACTTAGGCACCTGCGTTTCTCAGACCCAGCTTTGGTTCCCGGGACAGCATGATTGTTTTCTAGGTGAGACTTAGAAACAGGTACCAGAGGCCCAAGGGACTCCTCCCTCATTCCCTGGCAGCTCAGCTTTACCAGGGGGCCCTTTTCAGTTCCTTATTAAGCTAATCACTATGAAAGCCTGAGTAGGAACTACATTCTCTTTATTCATCGGAGGCAGGGGGTGGGGAGCAGACCTGTAGAAAATCTCCCCAAACCACTACCGTGCTATGCCAGTGTCTGCTACCTCACCACTTAGCAGAAGGCTCCGTGCGGCTGCCCGCCCTCTCCCCGTTTGGTGAGTCACGGCAACAATAAAAGGGAGAAGGGTGGGGTTATGAGAGCTGGCTGGGAACGGCACTCTGGAAAGCCCTCTTTTGAAAGTACCTTTTTCTCAAAGCCACAGACCTGGCTCCCAAAATTAAGACTGACTCACAGACCAAGACTTTGAAGCTTTTGAAAAATCCAGCTGATTTTTTCTGTATCTGAGGGGGCTATTCTCTGGGATGGGGGAAAGCCCAGAGATCTGCTACAATCCCCCCCAAAATCTTCTGATGTCAGGCCATCCTTCATTATCTTCCCTAGGCCAAAAGGAGCTTTCATGTCCTATAGCGACAACCGAGGCACGCTCAGAGATGCGTGCATACACGCACCCCAGATCTTCTCTCCATGCCTCAGATTATCTCAGCATACACGCTAGAACAATCTTGCTGTAGTCACACTTTTTTTTTTTGTTTTGTTTTGTTTTGTTTTTGGAGGGGCGGGGGAGTAGGGAGGAAGGAGAGCAAAGCAGCAGGGTCCCCTAGTCTTTGGTTTCTAAGTTTAAAGGGGGGATCTGCTTCAAAGCTTGGAGCAAGGCAGAGGAGTCAATGGCCGGATGGGAAGGCAAGGGAGAAGGGAGTCTCTGGGGCATGAGCAAGGGGGCTGAGATCTTGTCTGGGTTCATGAAACTGGTGAGGGCTGCCGCAGAGGCGTTGAGGCCCGGGTATAACACGGGGACGGAGGTGGGATACCAGCACTTCTCCAGCATGGGCAAGTAGGCAGTTGCTGACGGTGGGATCAGATAGAAGGGCAGACAGAAGGGAGGCTGGTGTGGGTGGGGGCCCAGGAACGGGGAGCTGATCAGGTCACTGCCCGTGAAATGGCCTTCATCATCTGAGAGCTGCATTCTGCTCTTTTTTGTTGGGGGTTCTTCAGATTCTTGCTTAATAACACCGATCCTTTCTCCCATGGTGAACCTGCGTCCATGATCGCTTTTGAAGTACTGCTGTTCACCACGCAAGTCACCCTTCTCGGATTCTCCTCCATAGCCACTGTCTGTGTCCGTGTCACTGCCACTCTGCTCCCCACTCGAGTGAGCGAAAGTCCGCTGGATGACTGGCACACAGTTTTTCCCAGGGCCTTCAGAGCCTTTGGCCAGGGAGCTGGGTTTCTCCTTGAAGTCCATGGCTTTGGGAGCTGGGTCTGACGGTTTCCTGGAGGTACCCCCCTGCAGCAGCTCTGAGACCACACGGTGAAGGTGGGTGACGAGCTGTGAAGATTTCAGGTCCCGAGTGTTCTCATGCTTGGCCAGGTACTGAAGAACCTCCCGGGCGCACGTCTGGAAGCCTGAGCAGAACATCTCTTGACCTGCTTCAACATTTCTCCCCGACAGCTCACCTGAATCGACACAGATCCAAAGGAAGACATTTCAGAAGGCCCCGTGATTCACCCAGATACCTACACCTCGAAGACTGGGTGGGAGCTTTTCTTTTTGCTACTGGCCCTCGCTGATTTGTGTTCCTAACTCCGAAAGTAGTAATATGATCAAAAAAAATTTGGATTATATTGAAAAGTGTAAATAATAGAACAAAAATAACCCATTATCCTACCACTCGGAGGTAAAATAGGAGCTGTAATGGTAGCATAATATCCCATCACAGAAACAGAACAAAATTAAGAGAGATGGACTACTTCTCCTCTTGAATTGATAGCTTGTTCCTGAGTTTTCATTATACATGACACAGCACTGAACATCCTCGTATGTTTATAACTAGAGTGGATTTAGAGAACATCTGTCTTACCAGAGCCAGACTGGACAAAGACCAGTCACAGAATGAGATAAAGAATAAAAGAACGACGTCACCCAAGTAAGCTTATTTTCGATTGAAAAAGTTGCAGTTGCGCTGGACTCTTCAAATTTCAAAGCTATTTCTAAGCCTTTTCCAAGCCTTTTCCGTGTGTTCTATCCACAAGCCCCAAGTAATCAGGTATCATCATCTTCCTATTTTCAATGAAGAAACTGGCAGAAGCACCTGCTAGGTTTTTGTGATTCTCATCATACTAGTCTTGGAAAGAAGGGCAAGAAGAATGGAATGAGGGAGTGGGTAGAAGATTTTCTCCCTGGTCTGTACAGTATTATTTGGAAGGGGTGAAACTAAAAGGTTACAAGGTGACTGTGATTCTCTGCAAGTCGGTAGAAACTAATGATGAAACTTCACCGGTTTCATTAGATTGTGCAACTAACCAAGATACCTAGTGGCTATTCAGGGAACCACATGAAATGCAGGAAAAGCTCCTGCTGTCATCCTGCCAGGACCATACCACACACAGAGTGATAAGGAAGTAGAGAAACAGGAAAACACTGGGGCATACCCATGATTTATTCTCCAATGAAAGAGGACTAAGAAGACCAACTGTAAAACACCCACGACACAAATTATAGGTGCCCTGCATTTTAAACAAGAGGGGGAAGATGTCCCAGAACCCAGAAACCCTTAAATCAAAATGCCACAGAAATATTTTACCACTTGACTAATACATGCTCACGCCAGGTGGCAAGCAGCAGCATTCCAAATGAGAAGTCTGACCTTTCAGGAAAGATAAAATGACATCTCCCCCAACTAACGTGCACAAGCCATTTGTTGTAAGAATGTTTCTTACACCAGATGTTGAGCCCACAGGCTATTTGTGCTACAACTCTCAGGTGATGATAACCAGACTCGGGCACTCACCAGCTTGTAAACCACTCTGCAGGGCAATGATTTTCTGCTGCTGCTGGTCAATTAGGCTTGTTAGTGCTTTCACATGCTTCAAGGTAAGTTCCAGAACCACTGCTTTTTCCAAATGACCCAAAGTCTGGAATAAAAAGAGCCTTAGTCAGCAGTGAGGTCAGAGAAGTCCCACCTCTGGGACACTTATTAGCAATGGGAAGTATCTCTAAGGGGGGGGGATAGCCTTTCCTGATTGATAACATTTCATTTTTAAGTTTGGAGATGACATTTTTAAAAAGTGTTGTGTTTGTATACATACATCCACACACTTCTGATTAAAGAATAAAAAACGAGTGTCACTTATCTTTGGAGGCATTTGGGAAGAGGCAGCTACATCAGGAGAAAGCTCTCACAGATCTATTTCTCCAGCAGCCACTGCTGACCTGAACTCAGGGGAATCCAGAGATAACATTTCTCTGCAGTGCTGTCAACCTGAGGAGGGACTTCTACTGTGTCTGGCAGCCAAGAGGCTTCCCCTAGCTTCTTTCCTGACACCCTCTCATAACTTTCAGCTCATCTAGGCTTTTTACTTCCTCCTCAAATACTATTTTTCCTTTCCCCAACCAAAGGCTGCCAAGCCAGTAAGCTGTTGGCTACTGACAAGAAAGAACAGGACATAAAAATCACGCACCCAAACAAGTCCTCTTTATTTTTCAAAAGGGGCAGGGCGGAGAGAAGGGGGTAAATAAAATCTGCGTGTTGCTTGGTTTACCAAAGTCAGCAAAACTAAAGAACCCTAAAAATCACCAGCAAGGAAAGGCTTAAACTCTTTGAAAACGAAGGCTAGCTGGGGTTAGAGCCAACTTGGAGAAGTCCAAGCGGTTCTCAGTTCATTGCATGAGGCTGCCAGAAAAATCCCAGGGCTGGGGAAGGGTACCCCAAAACAGAGCCACCCGCAAGCTCCCAGCCGCCCATCTGGTCTGCAGTTCCCAGTGGAGCCTGCAGGCGGCGAATGACCCCCGCCCTCTCCCTGGGCAGAAGAGCTGGCTTGGAGAGGGGCCAGCTTCTCACTTACTGTAAGTTTGAGATGTTCGGGTAGGAGATCCTTCAGCTGGGCGATGCACTCGTTAATCCGGTCACGTCTCTTTTTCTCGATGAGCCGGTGCGGCAGTTTGTAGGTCTCCTGCAAGGCGCACGGCGGGGCGGTGGGCGCCAGAGGAAGCGGGTGAGAAGCCCCTCTCTCCCCCACCCCGCGACGCCTTTAGAGTTGGGACCGCGGAGTCACACGCAGAACCACTTTCTTCCCCTTCTAGTCCAAGCCATTTCATAAAAGCACCGAACCCACCCCTTGCATTGCCCGGCGAAGCTCCAAGTGAGAAAACTTTTCTTGGAAACAGCGCGCGCCAAGGGCTGGGGTCCCGAGGGGCGCGGTATTCTTACCTTGCTATCCTCGCTCCGCTTTATTCCCCGCCTCGATTTGTACACTTGGTACATGTGGGCAAAATCCATCCTGCAGGGAGAGGGACCAGGTAGGGTCTTGATTTTGCGTGCGCATAGGCTCCAAGAGCCCTGGCGAGTAAAAGCCCCCCGGATGCGCCCAGAACGGCTCTGAGTTGAGAGCGGCGCAGAACGCAGGGCTGGAGCTGAGGCTTGAAGGGGCCGGGGAGTACCAACTTACCCAGGTAGGTCTCCGGGCTCCAGTCCTGGAGCTTTGGGCAAGCAGGCGGGGGGCGGTTGAGCGCTGGGGATCCGCTCCATGGCGCGGCGAGCCGGGGCCACTGTGCACTCCTGTCTGCAGTAGCGGAACGTTGGGGTGAGCACTGTCCTGCAAGGGGCTTCAAGGGGGCGATGGGGGGTGTCTCTCCTCAAGGGTTCCTCTGAGTCTGAGCTCTCTGAAATCCGCTTGAGCTGCTGGGCGCTGCGGCTTTGAGGTGCTGCTTCAGTTGGGGGCGTGCATGGTGTCCCCGCGGCCTCTGGCTCCGGCTCTGCGCACAGACTGGTGGTGTGTGCTCCCTGCGCCGTCTGCGCGGTGCGAGCCAAGTGAATGAGAAGTGGGGCGGGCGGGGAGGCGGGAGGGAGCTCGGAGGGGGGGGCGGCTAGGGCGGAGGGGAGGGTGGGGGGGCGAGCTGAGGAGTAATGGAGAGGCTGCGGGCTGGGTTAAATGGGAGCGAGTGGGTGGGTTGGAGCTACGTGTTCTACCCTGTGACTCCAGGCACGTCTGGCCGCTGCCAGGGAGGGAAGGAGCGACCTGCCCGCCCTCCCCCGGCTTCATCACATGAGTCTCACGTGTTGGACAACGCTCCCGCGGCTGCGAGGGAGCCCCCCCCCCAGCCCCGGCCCCCAGGTGTCTGCGGCTGCCTTTCCCCGAAGAGGGGGTGGCAGCACGGCCTGGGTCCTGCCCAACCGGGTGGGGGGCGCGGAAGCTGGAAGGGGCCGGGGAGGCGCTGGGGCCGGGTAGGGGGGAGGTTTGGTAACGTGGGCGAACCTGCCCCAGGGAAATGAAGTAAGTTCCCGTCTCCTGGGAGGGAACGGGGGAGGACGGATCCGCCCGCGTCTGACTCAAGCCGGGAGAGGAATATCCCCTCGCTCGCTCCAGCCCAGCCCTCTTCCTCCTCCCCCGCCCGGCCGGCTCCGAGGAACCAGCGCGCAGCGGAGGGAGTCGCCCGGCCCCCCTGCCCTCCCCAGAGGCTGGTGTTTCTTTCCGTCCCGGCTTCCCCGCCCCCACCCCTCAGCAGGGCGTCCAGGAATTGCCCGCCGTGGGGAGGGGCCGAGGGGCGGGGCGGATGTCACCCCATGGGAAGCGGGCTGGCAGCCAAGCGCAGGGGCAGCTGAGGCCGCCGTGGAGCACGCTGCGCGCACCTGACCGCCGAGCGTGTGCGCCACGGGCCCCTCGCTCCCCCAGAGCTCCGCTCCTGGGTAAAGCCTGCGGGCCGGCGGGCGCCCTCTTGCGCCCCCGCCCCCGTGTATCCCAGTGCCCACTTTAACCTCACTTGGGTTAGTCCGGCACCGAAAGACACCGGGCGCGGTGCCCTGCGTTTCCCCTCTCTACCCTGCCCCCTCCAGAGCAGAGGCTCCCGGGTCGCCTCCCCTCCGGCTGCAACGTTACACAACTGCGGCGGCGACGCCTGCCCCGCAGCAGCACGGGGCGTGACGCTTCACGTGGCCACAACTCGGGCCACAGGGCCTCCGCCTGCGAGTCCTTCTCCGCCGCCCGTGGGACCCAGACCCCGGGGACGCACTGTGACCGCCGTGGTGGGCTATCTCCTCGCCTACCAGGAACTTGGGCGGCGCTGTTGGCGGTCTGCACCCGGGGCGGGAGGGAGGAGAGAGTCTAGAAAAAATTATCTGTCCATCATACTGAAATTTTAGCGTTCATTCAGTGGATACACATCAGTTGAGCCCCCTCCAGGGTGCCGGGCGTAGTGACCGTTGCTAGAGCTACTGTGAGGAATCAAACAGATTCTGCCCTTGAATTTACAGGAACCTCTGGCAAGAGCATAAATTGGGCAATGAGGGGAAGACAGCCCTGGGAAAATTATATAGATGCCACTGGCTGACGGGGGAAAAAAAAGATAAGTTTGCTTTGTTTTGTTTCAAAATTTATTTAATACGGACTAAAATGCGTGGGAAGAGAAGGAGGAAGAAGCTAACCCACTGCCCTGAGCTTGGGGCAGAAACGCCTCCCCCAAGCAGCCCCAGATCTCAGCAAAGCGCGGGGTGGGGGGTGGCGGCGCGGGGCGGGAGGGCACTTACCTCCCCCGGCAGAGTCCGGTCTGTGTGACCTTCTAACTCAGCCTGGAGCAGGGAAAACAGCTGAAACTCCAAGCCCGCGGTGTGAGCCGCGCTGATGCAGTCAGAGGAGGGAGCCAGTGGAAATTCATGACTAAAATAAGGCCTGGCTGGGGATTTCACTGACCTCGGCGCTGCCCTGCCCTGCAAGTTCGGGGAGTTGAGAGATGACTGTAAGCGGTTCCCACCGCGCCTCGGGTCAGTCACCCCGATGCTGAGTGGCCTGGCTGTGGGGAAGGATTGGAAAAAAAACAAAACAAAACAAAAAAACAAAAAAAAACCAAAACGGGGTCGCCCCTGGGACTGGGTGAAGCTTCGCCTCGGGCGCAATTTGGGGCTGTCAGTCTTAATTGGCAGTGTCCTTGGCAACCTAGAGAACTGGGATTCACACTTCGACCAAACTGGGAGTGGATTTCCTTCAGGTCGCTTTGGAGAGCTCCCACTTCCTGTTTATGTTTCACAAGCGTCGAACTCATTAGCAAGTGTGAGAAATGCCTCCTTTTCTAACTGCTAACTGGTGTGACCTCTCTTCGGGGCTCAGGGATTCTTCCCTCCCAGAATGTACTTTTGCTGGCTTCTGTTATCAGCCATCTCTAGGGAGGGAATTACTGCATCGCAACTTCCTGCTGGGAGGTAGGCACAGAACCACAGGGGAAGGAGGGGACCCACCGGTCCGGGTTTGTGCTTTCAATCTAGGGTGATCTGCTTCATTGTGCGACTTTAATAAGGGTGAAGGATTGTCATGATTGCACCAAAACCACAGTTCCACCAGGAAAGAAGCACTGGGGGAGGAAGGAACACATGTCCCTGAACTGTCATATACCCTGCTCCCCCCCCCCATGCCAGACAAGAACCCAAACATTTCAGCTCCCATGGCCCAATGTTATTCTTAGAATGCTTTGATGTTATCAGTACTTTTTGTCTTTACCTGTTCTACAATTGGAAATAACAAAAGGTATGCTTTTCCTGCTTTTTGTTTCAAATGTGTTCTCAAGCTTCAAGAAACATCTCCAAATAGAAAAAAAGAATTTCCACCCTATCAAAGTTCTGTTGTATCCAGATTTTATATATTTTATACCAGTTGGTCCATTTTTCTTTTCTCAGTAGCTTGTGATTATTTTTTCATTAATTTAAACAAAAATAATTCCTTCCCAACCTGCATCTTTCCACCCTGAAGAATCTTAAAATTTCACTCTGTCATCTTTGTAGATACTTGTTTAATGCTGTTTTATTTTTTAGATTGTCCGTAAAAACTTTGTCTATGTTAATTCATTTAGTCCTCACCACCACCTTAGAAGGCAGGTATTAGTCATTTTTACATCATTTAACACACATTTATTGAGAACCACTATGTGCCAGGTGCTGAACTGGGTCCTAGGAGTAAATGTGTTCTCTTAAGGAAATTGAGGCTCAGGGAGGTTAACTAACCTGCCCCAGGTTATGTAGCCTGAGATTAGATCTGGAACTAGACCCTAGGTTTGTTTGGCTCCTAAGCTGGTACTCTTAATCATTATACTCTTGGCTGCCTGGTAAGGTTATATGAGTTGTGCACTGTTCAACTCCAGGGGGAGCCATTCACATCATAGTCTGTGAGAGCACCCTCTAGAGTTGTGCATTTTAGCACTGAGCAGCTACACTGGGTAATTCTGACATTTTGTAGCCCTGTCCTGTGTTTTGTCTAAGTATAGAGAGAACATAATTTTGTACAGGAAGGACAGGATTTTCCTTTTCTTTTCCTCCTGAGACTCAGGATTTTGAAGGTCTGATGCTGTGTGTTGGGGAGAGTCTATAGTGTTACCTGGTGCCTTCCCATGTAGGAAGTTAGAGCTCACAGCCCCCTGCATGTACCCATACCTTTCTTGCTCAGATAACATTTTTTGCCTATTTATGGATCCTCAGGAAGTTTTTTATCACATTTCACATATCACATTTTTATATATCATGACCCAGCAAACACACACAAACACATACAATTTAAGTGCATTTAAGGATAGGGCAGCCAAGTCCTGATGGGGCTGTAGCAATAAGCCACCACTACCCTCTCTCTCTTACTCCTGGGTAACCATTGATCACTTAAAGAAAAACTTAAACCATTTAGGAAGAAGTCAGCTCAATGCATTTCAGACAAAAATTTTACAAAACAGAGCTGGATGGCTCAGTTGGTTAAATGTCTGCCTTCAGCTCAGGTTGTGATCTTGGGTTCCTAGGATGGAGCCCAGTATGGGCTCCCTGCATGGGCACCCTGCTCAGCAGGGAGTCTGCTCCTCCCTCTCTCTGCCCCTCCCTCCCTCCTGCTCTAGTGCACACATGTACTCTCTCTCTCAAATAAAATCTTCAAAAAAATTTTATAAAATAATACCCCCTTGATATGTGAATTCTGATATTTTCTAGTCTAGTCAATTTTATTTAAAAATATTCTGATCTTGGGGTTCCTGGGTGGCTCAATTGGTTGGGTGGCCAACTGTGGATTTCGGCTCAGGTCATAATCCCAGGGTCCTGGGACCAAGCCCCAGGACAGGGTCTGGGCTCAGTGGGGAGTCTGCTTAAGGATTCTCATTCTCCCTCTCCCTCTGCCCCTTCCCCTACTTGCTTAAGGATTCTCATTTTCCCTCTCCCTCTGCCCCTTCCCCTGCTTGCATGCCCACATGCTCCCCCCCCCCAAATAAATAAATAAAAATCTTAAAAATATATATTCTGGTCTTTACTTGATAAATTGATTTTACAACCCACCAGTAAATCCTGACCTACAATTTGAAAACGTGTTCTCTCCACTAGAGATAGTGTTGTACTTTTAGCTTGTCCCCACCAGAAAGAAATCAATAGCATTTGTACACTTGAAGATCTTTAAAATCACTTATAAAAATGTTAAATAAGACTGGGGCACCTGGGTGGCTTAGTGGGCTAAGCCTCTGCCTTTGGCTCAGGTCCTGATCCCAGGGTCCTAGATGGAGCCCTGCTCCAGATCAGCAGGGAGTCTGCTTCTCCTTCTCCCTCTGCCCCTCTCCCCACCCCATGGGACCCCTCTCTCTCTGTCTCAAATAAATAAAATCATGGGTGCCTGCGTGGCTCAGGTGGTTAAGCGTCTGCCTTTGGTTCAGGTCATGATACCGGGTTCCTGGGATGGAGCCCTGCATTACTCTGCAGGGAGCCTGCTTCCCTCTGCCTCTCTCTCTCTGTCTCTCATGAATAAATAAAATCTTTTAAAAAATTTTTTTAAAAATAAAATCTTTAAAAGAATACAAATAAAATTTTTATTCTTTTCTCAGTTCTGGTAATTTTTGTTTTTTAAGGAATTTGTCTATTTCATTGAAATTTGTTAATATATTGATAAAAAGTTTTATCCCTTTAATGTCTATATAATCTAAAGTTATAAACACTTTCTATTCTTTTAAACATTTTTGGTTAATTTGTGTTTTTTTTTCTTGATCATCTTGCTAAGAGTTGTATTAATTGTATTCATTTTGCAAATATCCAAATTTTGATTTTGTTTTGATTTTCTCGATTGTTCATTTAAAGTTGATCAATTTTCTTTCTTATTTTTCTTATTCCCTTTCTTCTAGCTATTTTGGATTTAATTTGTTCTGATGTTTCTAGTTTCTTGTGGTATAAGGTAATAACACTGATTTTAAGCCTTTCTTCTTACAAGTACTTAAAGCTAAGATTTTTCCTGTGAAAGCCTTGCTTTCACAGAACCCCACAATATGGGGTATTTGTATTTTACTTATTATTCAGGTCAAAATATGTCCTAATAGTTATTATCAGTTTTCTTTGATTCATGGGTTATTTTGGAAGGTATTGCTTAATTCCCAAATATGTGCAAATTTTCTAGAAAACCTTGTTTTTGTTTTGAAATAACTATAGAATCATAGAAAGTTACAAAAATAATAGAAGTTCCATGTACCCTTTACTCAGTTTCCCCCAATGGTACCATTTTCCATGACTATCATACAATATTAAAACAAGGAAATGAACATGGCTACAATCCAGATAGTTTTTGGATTTTCACCCATTTTACGTGCACTCACTTGTGTGTGTCTGTATATGTATAGTTCTATGCGGTTTTATCACATGTGTAGATTACTATAACTACTGTCACAATCAAGATGCAGAACTGTCCTACACTACAAAGTCCCATCATGAAACCCCTTTATAATCATACCAGTTCCTATCCCCTCTCCTATCTCTAATATCTGGCAACCAGTAATCTATTCTCCATCTCTATAATATTATCATTTTAAGCATATTGTAAAAATGGAATAATATAATTGTAATCTTTCGAGATTGAAACATTTTTTCCACTCACCGTAATTTGATGAGTTGTGTTCCTTGATGTCTCTGTGCCATGATTTATTTGCCCATTCACCCACTGAAGGGCTGTGGAGTTGTTCTAGGTTTCTGTGATTATAAAACTACTATGAACACTTTTCTACATGTTGTGTGTGGACATATTTTTTTCTCTGAGACAAATCCTGCAACATATGATAATGTACATTTGCAAAGAAACTGACCAACTGTTTACAGGAGAGGCTATCCTATTTTACCTTCACAATCGCAATTTATGAAAGATCTAGTTTCTCTTTATCTGTACCCAGATTTGCTGTTGTTACTGTTTTTTTTTTAAGGATTCTTATTTATTTGTGTGTGAGAGAGAATACCAACACGGGGAGGGGTGGGCAGAGGGAGAAGCAAACTCCCTGCTGAGCAGGGAGCCCCCTGTGGGACTCGATGCCAGGACCCTGGGATCATGACCTGACATGAAAGCAGACACTTAAACTGAGGGAGCATCCCTGCTATTGTCACTATTTTTAACTTTATCTTGTCCAGATAAGTGTGTAATGCCAGATATCTTTTCATGCTGGTTTCTAATTTACTACTATTGGGTCAGAAGATATAATCTATTGGATTTTAATTCTTTGAATTTATTAAGATCTCTTTCATTACCCAGAATATAGTCGATCTTGACAAATGTTCTCTGTGGGTTTGAAATCATGCATATTCTGTGGTTGGATGCAATATTTTTATTAAGTTGGTATTTTATCAAGTTGGTTACAGTGCTGTTCAAATATGCCTTTCTACTAATTTTTTTCCCCTCTCTGCATCCTAAAATTACTGAGACAGAAGTATTAAAATCTCTCCAAGTGTGAATGAAGAGTTGTCCATTTGTGTCATTTCTCTTTATGCATTTTGGAACTCTGTTCTTAGTTGCAAGTGCATTTAGGATTGACATGTCTTGATGATTTTATTCT